CCCTCCGGATCCCCCCAAATTCCCTCGGATCCCCCCCAGATCCCCCTAGACCCTCCGGATCCCCCCAAATTCCCCCGGATCCCCCCGGATCCCCGCGGATCCCGACCGGATCCCCCCGGCAGGAGGAGCAGCTGGGGCTGTCGCTGCTGACCTGGGAGCAGCTCCAGGCCGGGGAGGCGCAGCAGCGGATCCAGGAGATCCCCCAGCACAGCTGAGACCCCCGGGATCCACCGGGATCCACCGGGATCCGCCCGGGATCCACTCCAGGACACGCCGGGATCCGCCCGGGATCCACTCCGGGATCTGCCCTGGGACCCACGTGGGATCTGCCCCGGGATCCACCGGGATCTGACCGGGATCTGCCCTGGGTTCTACCTGGGATCTGCCCTGGGTTCCACCTGGGATCTGCCCCGGGATCCACCGGGATCTGACCGGGATCTGCCCCGGGATCCACCAGGATCTGCCCCGGGATCCACCCCGGGATCTGCCCTGGGGGTCTGAGGGGATCCGGATCCACCAGGTGGGATCTGGAACCCCCCAGAGCCCCCCAGAAACACCTGGAGCAGGGACTGGATCCCCAAAAATGCCGGAGCGGGACTGGATCCCTTTGGGGGGGGGATCTGGACCCCCCAGGTGGGATCTGGAACCCCCAGGTGGGATCTGGACCCCCCAGGTGGGATCTGGAACCCCCCAAAAAACGCCTGAAGGAGGAACTGGATCCCCCCAGGGATCCCAGTGGGATCTGGATCCCCAAAAATGCCAAATCAGGACCGGATCCCTTTGGGGGGGGGATCTGGAACCCCCAGGTGGGATCTGGACCCCCCAGGTGGGATCTGGAACCCCCAGGTGGGATCTGGACCCCCAGGTGGGATCTGGACCCCCCAGGTGGGATCTGGACCCCCCCCAAAAAGACCTGGAGGAGGAACTGGATCCCCCCCAGGGATCCCAGTGGGATCTGGATCCCCAAAAATGCCGGAGCAGGACCGGATCCCTTTGGGGGGGGGGGGGGATCTGGACCCCCCAGGTGGGATCTGGAACCCCCAGGTGGGATCTGGAACCCCCTGGTGGGATCTGGAACCCCCCAGAGCCCCCCGAAAACACCTGGAGCAGGGACGGGATCCCCAAAAATGCCGGAGCGGGACTGGATCACTTTGGGGGGGGGATCTGGAACCCCCCAGGTGGGATCTGGAACCCCCAGGTGGGATCTGGAACCCCCCAGGTGGGATCTGGAACCCCCAGGTGGGATCTGGAACCCCCAGGTGGGATCTGGAACCCCCCAGGTGGGATCTGGACCCCCCCAAAAACACCTGGAGGAGGAACTGGATCCCCCCCAGGGATCCCAGTGGGATCTGGACCCCCAAAAATGCT